GGCCCAACCTCTAGGCTGGGCCCGTCAGCACCTCCTCCGTGCCGGCAGCGGCAGAAAGCGCTTCTCCCGGTGTTGATGGGACCCGTCTCCCCGCGGAATGGACACAGGGTATCAGTTTTCAGCAAACAAACTCGCTCTGGGTGACGTGAGGGGGCAGCAGCTCTAGCCCTGCGGGAGCGCGGCTGGCACGGAGCCCTGCCCCGGAACCACGGCCGTGCCACGCTCAGCCTCGCCTAGCAGAGGCCCCAGGAAAGCTTTAGAAACCCTCTCAGGGTGATGTGTTTCTTCAGTAAATTACTGATGCCATAAAAGACTTGTTTCTAGCGTGACAGAACCCCCAGGTGACAGAGTGCTCTTGTACAGGGTAGTCTTTGCTTTCTCCACAGTACATCCCTATCTGTTACAGGTGTCTCTGCTCTCAACACTAGGAAGGATTAGGATGTGGCACAAAGAGCCTGGTGACATTTGATGGCTGTGGCTTATCTCGTTGGCTTAAGAACTCCCTCTAATGAAACGGAGGCTTTGCAGCACGTTGGAATGTAAATCCTTGGCTTTCCTTCAGAGGAGCGGGATGGAATGGGAGCGAAGCGAGTTTATCTGCAGTGGTTGCAAACCCTGGCTGTCTAATCCTAAACTAGTTGGCATGACTAATAATCTGTACATTAGGCAGGACCTCACCGAGACGTGCTTGCGTGTTCTAAACCAAGATTTAGGAGTATTGTAACAAATCTATGTGGAATGATTGTGTAGTTTCTGTTCCCAGCCAAGCGTCGGTCCCTTCGCTTTCAGCCACCAGAAGCCAAGTCAACGTTGGCTAGAAAGAGGGTGGAGCAAGGGCCATGGGGCTGGAATCCATCCTCCAGGTTAGGGGGTGGAACAGATCCCTCAGTGCTTTGGAGAAAGAGGAAGAGGAGGGTTCTGGTGCACCCTGGTAGCTCTGGTGATGCCTACAGAGGGGGCACAGATGTTGGGAACAGAAGGCAGTTCACCACAGTGTGCCCGTAATCCCACGGGAGGGAGGATGCCCGGGAGTCCCCTGGGGCAGCGTGTTCTTCCTCCCGTGGCCAGAGTGCAGGAGATACAATGGCAGTTTCACTAAACTTTATACAAGTGTTTTTCTAAATGTAAAAAGTATCTTTCATTTGAGGACATTGTAACCTTTGTAACACTGGCTAAGGTAGCTTCCCAACTGTCCCTTCCCATCCTCTGCATGACCGAACAAAACGGGATTGGGTGGCTGGAGGTTTATCCATTGGTCGTGGAGCCCGTGCAGCTGAAGGTGCTGGTGGTCACAGCCTGCCAGGTGATGCATGGGGCATTTTTCTATTCATGTGCGTGCTGAGTTGGATGGTCAGCCAGAAGGATTCTGCAGGCCTCTTCATGTACTAAGTCTTGCCCATTGTTTCACTTTAATTTATTTTCTCCAATCTGATGTGTAGCCCTTACCTTCAGCTCCCGGGTGTCCTGGCTTCCCTGCGAGTCACGTAAGCAGCGATTTTTGTGTTTGTTTGGGTTTGGTTTTTTTTGGTAGG